CATACTCGAGCCAGAGACTTCGTGGCAAAGGGCAATGAGTTTGCTGATAGAGTTGCTAAAATGACAGCTGGGTATGACAGGATAGGTACGGCTCTGCAGGGAGTTATTGAAGACAATCCTGAGGGAACAGAGGCACCAGTTGAAGAAAGAGAAGAGAACAGTCCACACATATTGCAAGAAAATCCCTCACTGTATGATGTGACAGCATGGAAAACTGCAGGGGCCATTAAAAACAGTGAAGGAGTATTCTATGATACATTTGGTAAACCGTGCGTGACTACTAAAAAACTACTACAGATCATTCAAAGTAAGCATGAGGAAACACACATAAAGTGCTCAAAACTTTTTTCAGAACTAAGACGGCACATGTTCCATCCTTTTATGCTACCAACCATTCAGCATCTATGTGACTCATGTGACATATGTCAAGGGCTCTCTAAGGCAAGGGCGGTGAAGGCAGGGATAGGAGCATACCCAGTGCCTCCATGGCCCATGGCAGAAATCGTAATTGATTTCATCGACATGACTGCTGATAAGAAAGCGGATGGGTGTAGATACGTGCTCACAATGATTGACCCACTCACACGATGGCCTGAAGCTTTTCCTTTGGCAAAAGCAAATGCAGAATCAGTAGCCAAAGTATTCTTGACAGAGATCTTTCCAAGGTACGGCCCAGCGAGAGTTATCAGATCTGATAACGGCTCGCATTTTAAGAACCAGACAATGACCCAACTATGTGAGAGGCTGAATATAAAACAGCATTTTGGAGCAGTGTTACACCCGCAATCACAAGGGGTGATTGAAAGGTTCAACCAGACACTGAAAAACAGATTGGCACACATGTGTAGGGCTGGAAAAATGAATTGGAAACAGGCACTGCCTATAGCCTTGATGGCAATAAGAGGAGAACCAAGCAGGCCAATTTTTATGTCACCATTTCAACTAATGTATGGGAGACACATGCCCAGTAACTTATCTCGTTCACTGGAGCTCCCACCTCCAGCAGCCACTGATGATGCTAGGGAAACTTATATGAAAACATTGGTCACTACAGTGAAGTTTCTGCAAGATAACATTGTCACGCTGACCCAGAAATCTCCAGAGCCCCCTTTGCAGGCTGTAAAAGACAAACTTACAGTTGGAGGCTACATTTATGTGAAAAACCAGAAACATTGTTGGGATCAGCTAACTTGGAAAGGCCCATTTAAAATCTCCAAACTATACGAGTATACTTTGAAATATTACTTAGACGACTCACAAACTACAGAGTCATCCTTTGTGCACATATCACACACTAGGCCCACTAGTGCACCAGAAAGATCCCTGCTTGATGTAATGAAAGATATCACTACATCATCAGAAAAGGAGGCCGACAGGGGGACAGAGAGGGAAGTGTCTGACTCTATTAGTTAGAACATGGGGAGTTCTAGGGAGTGCGGAGCAACCCTATAATGCACCTATAGAGTCCCTCCAGATAGCCCTGTGATGCAAGTGTCTGATGGCATAGGGACTAGTGATGACAATAGTATGAGAGACCTTCTGGAACTGTTGGGAGTTGAGGATTTTGGACTTTGGGGCTCTGGACTTCCAGACTTTGGAGATTGGGAGGTTGAGGTTCTGGCCCCTGAGGTTCAGGAGTCTGGATATCAGGATTTTGACATTAGAGATGGTGGAGGACAGGGTTTTGAGGTCCTGGACATTGGAGATTGGGTTGTTGAAGGTCAGGGCGATGAGGTTCAGGATGTTGAATATCAGGATATTGCCATTTTAGATTTTGGGATTCAGGGGTTTGAAATTATGGTCGATGGACTTCAGGTTATTGAAGAATTTGGCAATTTCTCTGACTTTATGGATTGGGCTGATCAAGGGGACTGTGCATTTAACTGACGTGGTTTGGATCCGACATAAGTGATAATGGTGGGGGTGACAAATTGGCCTATAAGGGATGTTTAATTTATCACAGGATTGTGATAAAACAGGGGGAAGATTGATTATTGATTATTTTTATTGATTGATTATTAATATTATTTTTATAATTATTGATTGAATATATAAAAAAAAAAAAAAAAAAATATTCATGATCCAGAATCAACTATTTAGATGAGCAATTGAGCAAATCAAAGCTGAAAACACTAATCTGGTATGCATGGGATAGACTTTAAGACTGAGGTGTTCACCATGCAGGTACTCTCAACATGATAGGACCATGGACACTCTTAGGGTTGAGGACACGAGAGTGGGTGAGTATGGTGGTAGGTATAGGGATTATAGCTGGATTTTTTTATGTGGGCCTGGGAAACAGAGTTAGGCCAGGGGTATGCAAAACCAACAACTGTCTATGGTAAGGAGAAAACTTGGTGTCAATTCCTCAATTTCTGATTATTCAGACATTTACCCGGCAAACAAATGAAAGAACGCAAAATTCAACCTACAAAGGGGACAGGGATAAAAATAAGACCAAAAAAGGGAATTGGATAAACTGGGAGCATGTGCAAAAAAGCGACAATACCTATTTGGGGGATTGTGTTTGGCAAAGGGAGAACATAGCATTCCAGGTACCTTTTATTTAGTAAACAAAGGGAAAAAAAGTGGGCAGAAAATTCAGATTATGAATGGTACATGGACAAATGACATGAGAGATAAAATCATGGGGGACAATGGTGGCATATACTGGATTTGATTGGACACCAACACCAACTACAGAGTTTGCAAGACACCATTCTAAAATAATTTCCATGACAAAGGGGATTATGCAGGGAAGTGTACCATGTCTTACAATTACAGTGGACTTGAGAGGTGAGTCATTGGACCCAAGAGACAGATCAGGGAAGAAACCTCTATGGATTTTGTTGGGGATTTCTGGTATGGGCAATATGTGCCAGGAGAAGACCCTTGGGCATTAATTAACTATTTGTGAAGATCCAGTCAGTGTCACAAGAGAAGGGGGGCTTAACGTAAGGACATGTAGGTAACACAAATCTAGTAATGGTATATAATGCAACTCTCTTACACGCAGATGATGTTTTCAGAATGGAGACAGGAATAAACAGCTACAAAAAATAATTGGCTATTTATGATTGAGCAAGCTGCAAAAGCTACACAACTAAGTCAATGTATTGCTTGTATGGGACCAAGGCCTATGTTACATGCAGTACCGACTGTAGTAGATTAGGGACAATCATACATGTTTAGTAGAGATTATGATGAGAGATAACCTATACCCTAACTGTTCACTATATGATAAATATATATCCGGTAACGGCCACAAATGCGACAGCCACCAATTTTTAATTCACAAGTAAGAGGTGAATACACCTGCGTCATCAGAAGGTCCTTAGTGGAGAAAAAGGGAAGTAGGACATGTAAATAGATCTTATGCATTAGGTATGAGGATTTCACAGAAAAATTAAATGGACACAAGTTGACAGTAGCCAGAGCAGATGTGTGGTGGTATTGTGGTGGCAAGTCTTTAAGGGGATATCTACACCCTCTGTGGGATGGCATGTGTGTGTTGATCTCATTACTTATACCAATTGAAATATCTCCAGTGGATCTAGAGAAGCCAGAGATTTTGAAACAAATCATTAGTGTAAAAACCAGATCAAGAAGGGCACTGGCTAGACCAGAGGAGGGAAGTTCAGTTTATATTGATGCAATAGGTATTCCTAGGGGAATTCCAAATGAATACAAATTGGTTGATGAAATTGCATCAGGATTTGAAAACATCCCAATAATCTCCGCAATTTTTCCAATAACCCCAAATAAGAACGTCGATCGGATCAACTACTTACATTACAACATACAGAGGCTAAGCAATTATACATATGATGGATTTGAGGCAATTCATGAACAAATTATCAGCCACATCCTTAATGACCTTCCAGAACAGACTTGCTGTTGACATGATTTTAGCCAAAGAAGGCGGAGCCTGTTCATTGATTGGCCCTACGTGCTGTACGTTTATCCCAAATAATACTGCCGCCAAATGGAAAATTAAACAAGGGCCCTTCAGGGACTGAAAGCGCTATCCCAAGAAATGAAGGCACATTCAGGAGTAGACCAATCAATGTGGGATGGGTGTTGGAGTGTTTGGCAGATATAAGGCACTGATAGCATTCAACTCTGCTATCGGTGGCTGTATTTGCAGCAATCCTGACGCTATGTGGATGCTGTTGTATTCCGTGCATACGATTCCTTATGTAACAGAGTGATAACAGCCGCTGTGGAAGGGAAGGAGGCAGAAAGACAACTGCTACTAAACCCAGGCCTACAGTGGGAACCAGAAGAATTGATGACCATAGCCTAAGGCCATAAAGGACATCATCAGAAGAACGGGTGAGTATGGTCTGTGATATTGTCAGAATATCACCAGAGGAGTTGTGAGTATGCTTTATGATATTATCAAAATATTTTAATCAAAAATGTATGACTGCTTGCATGTAAATAACGCACATAACCTTGCAAAATTGTAAGAGGGACTGGGAAAATCGGGATGCGATAAAAAATTATAAAAATTAAAATAAAAAATTACATATTCAAATTGATGCACGACACAAACATATCTTTCTCCACAGCTCTTGCAACTATTGTTTTTGTTACACAGAATAGACACCGCAGCACACCCACATATAGAATATTTTATAGGATCACTTCAATGTATGTAGTTTAGGGTGAGTTGGATGCTCAGTCCGCCCAGAGGCCTTTGGGGCGGGTCTGAAGTAAGGGCTGAGTGGAAGACCACCACATTTTTCATAATGTCACATGGGGTGGTTTAGGAGTTCACAGATCGTCGTGAAGACTGGGATTAGACTGAGTATAGGATGTAATGCTGGATCAACTGATGAAGATGGGCCATCTGAGACGAGAGTGATGGATGTCCGAAGAGTTCCTCTCCGGCCAACAGGGGGACTGTTGGAATATTAACTCCTGCACCAGTTAAAAACTAAAATCAGTGTTAGTATTGTTTCTGTTGCCAAATTAGCCACTTGTTTGTGTAAATCTCAAAGAGCAGTGAGTTCAAGGTTAGTCTGAAATGGGAGGGGGACAAGAGGGAGACAAGTGTTATCAGAGCAGGTGCAAACGTTGGCAGCTGGCCAGAAGGAGTCGTGGAGTCCATACAGTTGTGATGTCATTGACCTTGGATGTAAAGTATAAATGTATGTGCAGGAGTGGTCACGAGAGACTTTTTGCTTTTTCGTCTGACAAGGAGCAGTGAGACGTCCCCGGGGCCAAATTATTATTTACGATATATAATATATATATATATATATATATATATATATATATCAGATTCACACGTATATGTATTACTATATATTATTTTGCGGCCTCTCTGCAGCTTCTGGGCTGGGGAATATTGACAATAATCAATCATTTCATTGTGTGTATTATTATCATTATATATATTTTTTTTTTTTTCCAGACCAATTTCATTTGACGGAAATCCGTCACCTAGACGGAACTCTTTAATCCCTGTACTAGCTGTTAAATTATGTGGTTGGAGTAAACATGGGGAGCATGACAGGATCGAAGAGAATCTCACCTTCTTGTGGTCAACTTCTGGAGACTTGGGTTTCTCTGCGTCTGAAGAGCAGAACATGGCATCAACGCTGATTTCCCAACCCATTCATAGGCCTCATTCATGAAGGTATTTGTGCAGTTTTCAAAACGTTTTTTTTATTTTTTATTAAAAGAACAGTTTTAAAAAGTCTGAGGTCTGAGGCTGAGGATTGGTCAGCCCCTGGGTCTCCCAAATCACTTTTAATCATTAAATCTACTTAAGAGTTTTACACATTTATAAACAAGAAATGTTTTTGTTGGTTCTCAGTCCTAAATCTACAGCCTCCGTCCTAAATCTACAGCCTCAGCCCTAAATCTACAGCCTCAGCGCTAAATCTACAGCCTCAGCCCTAAATCTACAGCCTCAGCCCTAAATCTACAGCCTCTTTGTGGTTTGGACTCACTGAAATACTGGATCCAGTTGAGTTGCCTTATGGCTTTGGGCAGTTTGATGAGAGCCATGTTGTATCCTGTGTCCACCTCCTTCAGCAGCTGACTCAGCTTCCCCTTCATCTGCACCACACGTGTTTTCACTGGGGGAACGAGGTTAAAGCTCAGGTACGCAACTTTCAAACCAATGATACAAGGGTCACAAGAAATGGAAAACTAGAGGACCGTTTGCTTCTCCCACTAGATGTGATGTTTGGCTTCTGTCATATCAGCTTTTTCAGACAGAAAAGTGACAGAGAGGACCAACCAATAACAGCCAAACAGAGAGACTAGAGTCAAAGAGTGACTGACGTGGTGTAAGACTCACTTTCTTACACCAAAGATAACATGTTTTCTGATCAGTTGTGCCTGTGATAATAAAATAACTTAAAACAGCTTAACATCTTTGGTGTTTCCTGTTACCTTCACTGTCAAAGTCATCAAGGAAAGCTTCCAGTTTTGCCGTCCTGGGGTTGTTTTTTGGCTGCTTTGTCGTCCTCTTCCTGGGAGCCATCTGAAAACACAGAGGTCACATCAGTCCTGGATCTACAGCCTCAGTCATCTGCTCCCTATGAATCAAATGGCTCCTATGTGTTTGTTATAATTGCATTTCCTGTATAAACTGTTTGGTTCTCTGATCTGTTGGTGAATCCACAGTGTGTAGTGTACATAACATTTAATCCCCATTTCAGATTCAGATTCATTTATTTGCCATTTGCAGTAAAACCACAATGGAATACATTTTTAAAAGTCCCCAATGTGCACAATACAAGTACATATAAAATATTAAAAGTACAGAAATAAAACAAAACCATAAACAATTGTCACTTGTGAAATTGATAGACTAAAAGTTTCAATACAAAAGGCAAGATCATTAAAGTGCTCTGTTCGAACTGAAACCAGCTTGTGGAAAGAAGCTGTTATATCGAGATGTCCTGCTTCTCAAAGAACGATATCTTCGTTCCCAGTTTTCGCAGGAAGTAGAGACGCTGACAAGCTTTCTTAACAACCCGGTTAGTGTTTTTGTCCCATTTCAGGTCGTTAGAAAGAGTTAGACGCACAAACTTGCCTCCTATACAATCTGCACCTGGGAGTTATCAATAACAACAGGCATGTGAGAACTGTTACGGCTAAAGTCAAAGACCAGTTCACATGTTTTGGATGCATTCAGCTGGAGGTTGTTATCATTACACCACTGAACAGCATTTTGGATCTCTGCGCTGTAAGAGGATTCATCATTATCACTGATGAGACCGATGATGGTGGTGTCATTAGCATGTTTAATTATCAGGTTAGAGTCTGAGGAAGACACACAATCATGAGTGTACAATGTAAAAAGCAAAGGACATAATGCATCCCAGTGGAGATCTGGTGCTCACAGAAACAACATCTGAAATACAGTCATTGATTTTCACCTCTGTCAGTTAAAAAGCTAAAAATCAAATTACACATGGCAACACTTAAACCGAGAGACATGAGTTTTTCAGTCTACCTGGGAAAAGGCAAGTAATCAATGAACAGGATTCTCGCGACAGATTTACTATTGTCCAAGTGACTGTAGACAGAGTTCAGAGAAAAGGAGATTGCATCCTCAACGCTCTTATTGTCTGTAGGCAAATTGGAGCGGGTCAATACTCATGGGATTTGGCTCTTAATGAAGTCCAACACAAGCCGCTCAAAAGACTTCATAAGAACAGGCTGTTCGGCACAGTACAGTTCCTTAACGACAGGTTGAAAATGTCTGTTAGCACAGGGGCAAGTTGCTTTCCGGATTGTGGTCCTGGACAAGACACGCTTGGCTTCCTCCCGAGTCACGGTGAAGGCCCCTTGATTTAAACAATCAGGGAATACAGCAGGACAGGCATCAGCAGATTCAAAGCGTCAGTAGAACGTGTTCAGCTCGTTTGGCAGAGCTTGGCCGACAGATGCAATTTTCCCAGCACTAGGTTTCCAGGACATGATGGCTTTTATACCGTTCCTTTGCTGATTTAATTAGAACATTTTGATGAGTAACAGGATAACTTATAAGGAACTGTATCGTTTAATTGAAACGTCAAGACACGCTCATAAAGTTCCAGTTACACTTCCGCGTTCATCCATGTTCTATAACCCATTGACGCTGGGAACGCATTCCTGCGTTTCTACCTTTCATCGGTTTGTGTGTGGTTTGCGTGATTTTTGCCGTGTGGCTGCGCACCACACACTGTGGTTAGACCCATAATTTTTATCTCAGTGTGTGAGGTCTCTCACACTCACACAAGTCTCTACTCAGCACTTTTTACGGCCTGAATTCATACACAAGCTGAATCAATGAGCTCAAGTTTTCAAATAAATTACGGATTATAATACAACTTGTGTAATAGGCATCTTTAAAAATCATATCAAAACACTTTGTAGTAAATTAAATTTGATTAACTATAAGCATACAGGAAAATTCATTAACATCCAAAGCCTACTATACATTTCTAAAGACAATGATTGTCCCACATCGTCTGTACTGCATGTCCAGTTGGTCACAGGCTTTGCCCCCTTTAAGAAAATGTGTCACCATGAGAGAGTTTGATCTACGGCTACGCGGTCGACCTCCAGAGAGTACAGGCTTCCGAGATGTGTCTCTTATAAAGCCATAAGAAAACATTTCCAAACAAAATAATCTCATGTACAGATTACAGTGTGTTTAAGCCATAGACTGTATATATTAATGGACAGAGTCACGCCTATCTCCGCCGTTCTACCTAATGGGCCAAATAATGCGCTCTACTGGAGCAATCCAAAATGGCCGCGAGTGGTCCCGCCCACAAGAAAATTGTGAAAAAACGCATCTGCGCATGCGTCAGCCGGCGCAACTCCATTCATTTGAACGAGAGACTTCAAAAATTCACAGTGAGTAAACTAGAGTGGACCAAAAAAATCCACCCCCCTCAGCATTGACACACATGTGGAACGGAGCTTTGGGCCAAGAGCCAACTTTTGGTCCATCCTGTAAAGACGTTTTTGAGAGGTCTGCCAATGCTATATGTTAGCATTGGCTAATTCTACTTCTGGGTCCACCCCCATTGGCCCAGGGTGGTATTGCAAGCATGTCAGCGCACGTCATTTTGGCCACTTTTGAGCTGGGACCCTCCCCCACTGGTTTAAACCATAGACTGTAAATATTAACTGACGTAGTCACGCCTATCTTTGCCGTTCAAACTAATGTGCCACCACTTTCGCCTCCTGTGGGGAGTTTCAAAATGGCAGCAGGGGCTGGAAAATGTGAATAAAACACATTTGCGCATACGTCAGCCGGCACAAGCCCTATTCATTTAAAGTGACTAAACACCTGTTCCCAGTAGGGCTGGGCAATAAATTGAATTAGGCAATTAATGGCCTTTTGAAAAAATCAAATTTGTGAAAATTGTGAAAATCGTGAAATCGAACGAAGGATATTGTGAGAGTTCCAGTGGCACATGAATTATACTTGCAATAATAATAATAATAAAAAATCGGTTTTATATAGCGCTCTTTTGGACACTCAAAGACGCTTTACATGTCATTATGCAATATCAGCATAGTCTGTACAAGAATTTTATAATACGCATTGGGGGAAACAAATTCAAAAAGTTATGAAACTTGAATATTGAGCGGAAAGATCAAAACATATTTTTACGGGAAAAGTCTGTCTTCAGTGATTTTAATGAAAATCAATTTAAAATCGAAAACGTCCAAAGCAGGAAATAAAATTGAGATTTTACTTTTTACCATATCACCTAGCCCTAGTTCCCAGCCTTACTCTGCCCACATGAATATTTGAAAATATTTCTCACACAAGGGCGTTGCCTGGAGGACCAGGGGACAAGAAGGGAGGCTTAGCTACACATGGTCTGGGCTGTGATTGACAGCTCGTTTGTCATACAAAAAAAAAAAACAGTTGTCGTTGCTGGTCAAACTAAAGCAATAGTCTCCACACCAGAAAGTCCCATTCCACCCTTGTTAACACATTAAGATTTATGTAGAGCTACACACCTGGACCTAATGCAGTTTGAGTTTAAAAAGTTGATTTGGTGTTTAGTTGTCCTTTAACGAGTGCATGCAAAATTCCACAGTGACTAAACTAGACTGGTCCAAAAAAAATACACTCCGTCCCCTCAGCATTTACACACACATGGAACGTAGCTTTGGGCCAAGAGCTGACTTTTAGACCATCCTGTGAACCCGTTTTTGAGATGTAAGAAGATGCTATACATTAGCATTGAATAATTCTAATTCCAGGTCCACCTCCATCGGCCCGGGGCGGTATTATAAGAATGTCGGCGCACATTATTTTAGCCGGGACCCGTCCCCTAAGTTTAAATGCCAGACTTACCCATGGTTATTGTCACAACAACGCTGTATGCATTGACTGAATCGATAAGAGATTCTTTATTCATCCCACAGTGGGGAAATGTCAATGTTGTAGCGCACATATAGGACTTACTTACTTACTTACTACTAAGAGCACAGAGGGTGCACACAAAAAAATATTCAAAATAAGTAATAGCTATGTTTCTTAGCTAGCTGTAAATGCTTCATTATCAGTCTTTCAAAAGAAAGAAAGAAAAAAAAAAGCTGGACCACAAGAGAATGCCAAGAGTGTGTGAAGCAGTAATCAGAGCAAAAGGAGCTACTTTGAAGAACCTAGAATAAGACATATTTTCAGTTGCTTCATACTTTTTTTTGGTGTACACATAATCAACTCGAGTGATTGTATGTAATTTTAAGTGAATGTTTGAAAGCTTCCAGTATAGTGGGATTGATTTTAAAGATTTATCAAGTGTAACATGAACCTGTTCAGGGACTAAGGGGGGATATTAGCATCTCATGCTACAACCTGGTACCTCTTCTGTCATAAGACTAATTTTAGTTGTGCATTGTCCCTGATCAAATAAATAAATAAAAACGTTGTCTCTGTTCTTCGTCATACATACCTGAACGGACCTTAACGGACTTGAACGTTTATTTCCTTGGCTTTTGGGAGAATGGGATGTGTATTCTTTCATTAATTTATGCTCAAATGTTAGCCAAGCCAAAGGCAAACACAAGAGCTAAAAATGCTAAAGCTATTTACCGCTTGCTTTTACCTTTATTATTCCCGTTATTTGGCCTCATACGCAGTACATTTATGAAGTGCACCTGGAAATTATTAAGAAAGATAAGTGATGTCTAAAACACTCACATTTATCCGTGTTTTCTTCTCTTTTCCGTCGTTAGCAGTTTACCTCCTTCTTCACGGAGAAATTTTCAAATCGTGGCGAGGGCTGGACCAAAGCGAGAAAGCAGCCAATCATAATCCACCACCTCTCGACCAATCACAGCCCGGGGTCTAAATGTCTGCGGAAATAAACACGGAAGTATTTTTTTGTTTACGATATCAAGAACACATACAAATATACAAACATGCAACCGAATCCCACAGTTATTACCGTTAATGATTTATGAATGCATTGTTTATCATTAAGGCGAGATATATTTTCATATTGACATTATTATTATTTTTATTTTCATAAACACGGACATGACGTCTAAGCAATGTGACCGGGCTTCAGCGTGGGATGCGATAACCATGGATCTATTATAATATAGATCCATGTGTACAACACACACATACGTTTTGGGACTTAAACTTCACCATTCTGTCTATTATGAGTCTTACCCCGCTGCACCATGCCCTGCGTAGAGCCTTCCAGTCCGTGGAAAGGAACCAGAGGATGTGGCGGTCGCTGCTGGAGGACTGTGAGCCTCTGGTAGTGTCTCTGGGGAATGTGGGAGAGCAGTTTGTGGCTCTGTCTAAAGTGGATCTGTCTCGGACACCGCTCATTGGACTCCCGGGTCTGGAGCCGAAACTACGGTTCAAGCTCCACCACGCGGCGGACACTGTGATGGGGAAACTTCAAGAGAAACTGTGAGTATATGACGTTTATGTGGGAGAGAAAACACCAGAGAAAGGGAAACAATAGAGAGATAAGAGAGGGGGACAAGTGCGAGAGCGACAGACCAGTGAGAAGAGAGAGATCTCTAGAGTGGGATCGGAGAGAGAGATTGTGTGTGTCTCTCTCGTTCTCCCTCTCTCTCTCTCAATTCAATTGTATTGCTGTTGTGTGTCTCATCTCTTCAGCCTGGCTCTTCAGTCTGTTCGGGATGAGGTCAGCTCCCAGGTGGCTTCAGTGTTCCAGATCCTGGACCAGGTCTTGGTCTCGGAGCAGGTTTCAGCTCTAACCGAGCGCTCTGCTGGAGCTCCATCTGTGGCCGACATGTTGGCGTGGCTCCAGGATGCAGCCCGACACTACAGACAACAGTATCCTTCACACTGATGATAGGCCTTTCTCTCTGGTCTCTTTCTCTCTCTCTTGTCTCTCTCTTTCACACTGACGATAGATGTCTGTAGAAAAGTTACAGCTTTTTATTTTGCTCAAAAATAAAATGCCAGAAAAACATACATTATTACGGTCGGTAAGTGGACCTCTACACAGACAATACAGAAATTACAGGCTATTTTGACAATAATAAACTTAAATAATGCAAAATAAATGTAGTTTGTAGTAATAACTAAAGCAGAGATATCAGAAAGTGAGAGAGACAAAATAGTGAGAAAGACCAGAGAGAGTGAGGGAGACCAGAGAGTGAAAGTGACCAGAGTGAGTGAGAGAACAAGAGACCAGAGAGTCTTCCAGTACAGATTTTCTTTAACCTTAGTTCAGGTTCATAAAGAGAAAGGCTCTGCTGCTGACTCTGAGACCAGAGGGTTTCTCTCAGATGGAATCAGCTCCAGAGAATTGGAGGTCACTGACGTCTGTGAACACAGAGGACACCATACACGGTACTAACAGTGTCACCTTTAGTTTTCAGAACCATCGTTCATTATTGTTGTTTGTTTCAGACATGTTGTGGAGAGTGTCCTTCTTCTTGGAGCCGCAGTGAAGACCATTTGGACAAAAATAAAATAAGTGTTTGGATTATGGGGCTGACGTGAAAGAACTCCACGGCACACGCTGCACAAACTACATCTGAAAGGCCCTGCAAGGCAGCCCAGGAATTTAGATACGTCACGGTAAACTCAGTTCTAATCGTTTCAATCTGCAAAAGGAGTTAACAGGTGATAAGATAGGATAAGATATACTATATTGATCTCACAAAGGACAAATTTACATGTCACATCTGGCATGGATAGAAAAACTCAAGATTGTGCAAAAAGAAAGAAATGTGCAAAAACATGTTAAATGCAGGATATTATGTATAATAAAATTATGGTAGGGGTTAGCATGGCTCAATGGAGCAAAGCCAGACCTTAGTACAAAATTTAATTTGTACGATGGTGTGGTGCGACCAGGCTAGCTTCACTCTAACAGTATTTGTAAACACTGAAATACTTGTAATAATAATACATCAGTTTTATAAAGTGCTTTTTTGGACACTCAAAGATGCTTCACATGTCATTATTCATTCACTCCATACATGGTGTTGATAAACTAGTACTGTAGCCACATCTGCCCTGGGGCACACTGACAGAAGCGAGGCAACCAGTATGTGCCATCGGCCCCTCCAACCACCACCAACCATTCACACCCGCAGCTGCCCCACTGTGGCATCAGGTGTTCCCAGAGGTTAAGTGTCTTGCCAAGGACACAACGACAGCAGACAGTGGGAGTCGATGGTGAAAGTCTTGAGGTGGGCTCAAACCCACGACCTTCTGGCTCTAAGGCCAATACTCTACCAACTGAGCTAGTGTCACCCTTGTTGTACATGACAAGCTGTTTCAGGTCATCAGTCACAGCCCTGGAGCAGTGTTTTGCTCTATCCTCATAGTTTTTGTTGTTTTTTTATTGTGAAAAAATAGACAATACAAGTGTAGACGTACGGACAAATACAACAAGACAGACAACAGTGTGGATGTTTACAAGTGGGTGTGTGTGTGGGTGCAAGCTCCTATTCTGCAAATTTGTGCATCCACCCATCACCCTCATTGCCCCTATTTTCCCTTCTTATTTGTGTCCCAGTTTGTGTACATGTGTCTAAAGTGGTGCATTAAAAAGGAAACTGTGGGAGGTTGTCTACTTGTCTACTCTATCCTCCTCATACATACAGTACAGTTCAAAAGTTTGGACACACCTTCTCATTCAATGAGTTTCCTTTCTTTTCATAACAATTGACTGTAGATTCACACCCAGGCTGTGTAAGGGTTATTTGACCAAGACAGAGAGTGGTGGGTGCTGGGCCAGATGACCAGGCCTCCACAGTCACCTGTTTGGGGTGAGCTGGACCAGAGTGAAGGTAAAAGGGCCAACAAGTGCTAAGCATCACTGGGAACTCCTTCAAGACTGTTGAAGACCATTTCAGGACCTCTTGAAGCTCATCAAGAGAATGCGCCAACAGTGTGTGAAGCAGTAATCAGAGCAAAAGGAGGAGTAGGTATAATGTATGTTTATACATAAAGGTTTTTTTTTTTTTTTTTTATATATAACGATGCGCCTTGAAACGGCTGCAAGTCCTAAGGAGTTCTAAAACAGTTGTTTTGTGCTTAATCAATGTTTATTTTCATTGCTTTTTTCTGCCTGAGATGTTGCTGCACAGTGTTCATGGTTTTACACTGGTCCAGACCGGACATCTCTTCTAATATATATATTATTATATTTTTTATTTTTTTAAAACACACACACACATATGACTTCATTATTGTGTTTTACCACTGTGCCAAAGACCAGAAACTTTTACTGTGGAAATTGAGAAATATTGAGTTAAAGTACCAATTTTGGTCCAAAATACCCCAACAATGGTCGAAACATGTCACTTTTGATCCATTGTAACTTTTTACTGTAAAAAGATGTGAGACTAATTTCACTGGATTCATGATCTCATTATTGTCCTCTACCAGAGCTGTGTTCGCATTGCCGGCAGTAAGTCACACCTGTTCCCGGTGCATGTTGGCACCTGGCCTCACAGTGTCATCATGGACAGAATTTCTAGGCGCAGGGGCCGGAGGGGTCCGGTACAGAGACCATAGGATTTCATCTCTGGTGTTTGCAGAGTATGTCGTTCTGTTGTCTCCAAGGAACCAGGACCTGCAACATGCACTGTGACGTTTGCAGCCGAGTGTGAAGCGGCTGGGATGAGAATCAGCAACTCCAAATCCGAGGCCATGATGCCTGACCGGAAAAAGGTGCCTTGCCCTCTCCAGGTGGGTAAGTAAGTAAGTAATGTTTATTTATATAGCACATTTTACAGACCAAGGTCACTCAAAGCGCTCTACAATGTGCAGAGTTCAGATATTGTTCCAATCATTCCACACGCGGTGATGACGGAAGCGAGTCGCCGAACACACTGGACCATCAGCCCCCAACCAACACCATCCATTCACTCTCACATTCATACCTATTGTGCATGTTTTTAGTGGTAGGGGAAACCGGAGTAAACCTACGCAGACACAGGAAGAACATGTAAACTCCACTCAGAGAGGCCCTGTTCCGAGCGGGATTCGAACCCAGGACCAGCTTATTCATATATACACACACACACACACACACACACACAGTATGTGTAACCTGTGATTTGACATTAGGTTTAATGTGGAAGTTTATATGAACTGTGCTATACAAATAAACTTTCCTTTAAAAGTATTAAACAGAAGTTGGAATCCTTGCTGACTGATGTTTAAAGACGGGACAAAAGACACTCAAAGTTGAATGGGCATAAAATACCATTTATTTTTTTGCACATAAACACAAGAATTCCCTGCAGGCTAAAATAATATATATTAACATGTCACATAGCAACTAACATGTGAGTGGCCTTCTGCAGCAGGGGGAGGAGCCAAACTACAGACTCCACCCCCTTTTCCAATTTAGGAAGAAAGCTGCGATTCTCGGGAGTCCGAAAGCGTAGGATTGGTCAGACTATTGCTGTTGAAACCACACACAGCGCAAAGAGCAGAACAACCAAAAACAACAGAAGAAAGGTTCACGATACATTACAAACGTTATCAAAGTGGGGGGGGGGGGGTTAAAAAACACTCGGATGGTTTTTAAAAAGGTTTAAAGTCGCGTGGGTTGGCTGGTCAAAGGTGACTGACTATGGTGCCAAAATGGCCGCCGGTCACCCTACAGAGTCACAAAAAGGCGGAAAAGAGGCTCTGTTCTTTTGACGGGTTTGAAGTGAAGAAAAGTACCTCGTTTTGACACAAACCAAACGAAAAAGAGTCAGAGCGCATCGTCCGCAGTTTAACCAAGTCAAAGTGTTAAAAATCTCGGACAGATATTGCTAAATGCTAACTGCTAATATTCCTACATGATTAAAAGCTCCGCCCTTCCATAAAAAACAAAGGAAACAACACAACTTTCTCATGATAAATATAGCTTTAAAAGAGTATTTTTTTAATTTGCGTCCTGGTCGAAGGACAGATCATGCACGCGAGCAGGACGAATACAGCAAACGCAAAAGCTACAAAACTAGTCACCAAATGCACATTCCCACTGATTGATACAGGCAAATAAAAATAAAGTATATATATATTAAAATAATTACAAATACGACCAGAGATCACGATGAGGAGAATTATAGCTTTTCTTCTGATACATTTAAAACATCTGTAATATTGCTTTATATAAAGAACACAGGGTGTTGGACCAGAGAGCGATAGGAGCAGTGTCCACATCTCATGCACAGGTCACAGCAGACGCCACAGATACTGACGAAGATTCATTTCAATCACCATCTACAGAGATTCTCATGATTTCAGAATAGAAGACAGCTGTTCGGGGCCGTTTTCATGTAAAGTTACTTAACTGGGTATTTACTCCTGAGTCATTTTAATTGGCCACAGACCAATATGAGGGGCCCCCGCACTTTTGTCAGCTCTGGTTCAGAATCATAGTTAAAGGGTCTAGAACAGAGCAGTTTCACTTTGGTCTGAAGATATTTGAATCAGCAGGTTTTAAATCATGAGATTTCCTTAATTTAACCCAAGTCTGATATAACTGACTTAACTAGTTCAAGTTTCTGTGTCTGGACTGAACCAAAACTTACCAATTTAGAATAAAGTAAGTATTTTGGTTTCACTGAGAAATTATCATTAACATGAGGTATAACACGCCACAGTAACCTATCATGAATGCTGCACGTTAAAGTAATCAAGTCAGGGCTTGTTGCAAAGTTCTGGGGGCCGTATTCAGACCTGGGTCCTTGTGTTGGATGCTGCTGTCTATGGGCTATACATCACATTCAACGGTTTGTCACAGGAAATGCATTTTGTTTTAAAGTGCTGGGAATTGAACATTAATGCTTCCTTAAATCCTGTCATTTCAATGGGCATTTAATACCAAATGTGCTTTGCAAATAAACTTGCTTTGCCTCTGGTCTATAAATTTGACCCAGATAGACTATATGTAGCTGCAGTGCACCTATCTGCCACTAGATGTCACCAAACCCTGCATTAGTGTGGACACAGACCGCTCCATCAGCTTCAACTAAGCGTTCCATCAGAGTCTGAACTACAGTCACTACCTCACCAGGATTGACACATGACCTCTACTCACGACCCCTGATCCAACAGCCGCATCTTGCTCACGCACCCAGCAGGACGGCGCCCAAACTCGCTCATAGTAAACCTATACTTTAATGGGTGGTTTATTACAAAGAAGTTTTTCATTGGGGGCTGCCCTGATGAGGCGTGGGCCGCGGACCCCTCCCTCCAGAGGATCCAGGGGTCTAATACGTGGGCAGTATTCATCTACTATGAGCAGTGAGAGTACATTACTGACGGATCGTTACAGTCGAGAAGAATGGGTTGACGTGTGGATGTCTTCAATTGTCAATTTAACTAGAAATTTACGATTGCCGGTCCTGGAACTACAGCCTCGGTCCTGGATCTACAGTAATATGAAATTGTAGTCTTGAAGCCACATCCACACGACTCCAAACTTCCTGCTTAAAAGTTTCCGCTCACACATAAATAGAAAGTTTTTTTCTTGTTTAAGTCTAAAAATTCAACTCATTTCGTTCTCAGACCTGGGATCATCTGCTCCCATGACTTTGTCTTTTTGTAAAATTCCCACAACGTTAGAAACATCGACAACAAGACGACACCGAAGAGAAACTATCTCTAACAGGTTTTATAACCACACAAACATTTCTTATATTAAAATTTTACAAATCTGCTTTGATTGGTTATGTATAAATGCATAAAGAATGGGCTTCTGTCACAGCCGCGGCGACAGCTCCTCAAATTTGTCGCAAGTTTTTAATGAAACAAACACTTAAGACCCTATTTGACTCTTTGGGCTGAGGGCCTATATTTGATTTCAAAGTCAGGCACCTCAGCTTTAAAGCTCGAAAGCTGGAATGTATCCATTTCCTGATCTAATATATTACAAGCAACATATTTTTTTGTTGTATTTGTTACTTTCAAAAGATTAAAATAGTAATAGTATGTTGTTACTCCACAAAATCCACTGGCATCAATTAAAAAGGCTTTAAAATTCACTTGATCAAACATCAGATCTTTTAAAGAATTGATTTTCAAGGACAAGGAGCCCGAGAGACAAACATAATACACTGATATTGCCCCATTTTGAGTTTTAGATACACTTTTCATTAGCTTAGCATTTGGAGAATTGAAGGACAAGGAGCATGAGATAGAAACCCCCGATCAGCTTAGCATTCGCTTTGCATTAGCGTAGCATTAGCTTCACATCAAAACCAGACTTTTTCAAACTGGCTCATTTCAAGGTGAATTATTCGACTGTGTTTAATTTAATATTGATTGTATTTAATGTTCTGGTGTGAAAAATCAACTGAAACAGATAAAAAGGCAGAATCAAATCGGCTTCACTTTGAAACTGGAGCTAGTATCGCGCCGCTGTGAGAGGAGCCCATTGTCGAGTGCCCTCCACCTTCAGTGCAATATATTGACCAGAAAAACAGCATCAAAACAAAGATCTAGAAGTGTCTGATTTAAGTATAAAAGAAATATTTTCAGGTCCACAGATCCACATCCGTCATACATGAGGTGTTTGTGATTAAGACCATGATGAGTTCCACCGCTACATTTAGACCTGTGTCGCCTCAAGAAGCACAAGTTCATGATGAATCCGGGCTGAGGTCTGCAACTTTATAATATATTTACAAATGTAAGAAATCAACTCATTATCAATAATAATGATTTAGTCTTTGTGAGGGAGACCTCATTACCAGCACTGTGGACAAGGCCGTTATAAAAACCATCGTCAAGGTCATTTTAACAATATCCAGCCATGTTCCTCCGCTTTATCCATTGCCAGGTGAAAGGCGGCAGTAGGTGTTCCCAGGCCAGCAGAGACACAGTCCCTCTGTGTCCTGGGTCCTCCCTTGGTATCCTCTCCCAGTGGGACATGCCTGGAATTCTGAGCTCTGAGTGCAGACACTGCTCCCTCTTCAATACCACATTATTTAAGTGTTTGTGACTAGAACTGAACTTGTGCTTTTTGGGATTCCAGTCTCCACTGAGTGCTGTGCTACAGTTCAGTCTGTGAAATCGCTTCAAAAAGGATTGTTCCCAAACGACAAACGCGCTACAATCACAGCAGTTTTATATCAACATTGATTTCTGACACATTTGATCCGTTCACGTGAATGCATCTCTCTCAAGCGTCACAGATTGAACCATGATGCACAAGTCTGTGGAAACCAGTTGAGGACTAGGGAAAAGATTACAGCCTTTGAGTTTTATCTGAGTCTCATCAGACACGAGACCAGAGAGAGAGAGAATCATGGAGAGACAGAGAGAGACACCCACAAACAGAGAAACAATGAGAGAGAGAGGGAGAGAGACGTAAAGAGAGGTCTGACAAATTCTGGACTTTTTCATCAAGTCTCACGACTGACAAGAGCCACAGACCTTGAGGACAAACGCTCCGGACGCTAAACATGCTCCTGATGCTGACCTTGCACGTGATGCTAACAGCTCAAACGTTTCCAAAAACCAGACTTTGTTCCCTCCAAATCCACACAAAGACATATAATCTTTGTCGTTCCTTCGAGTCTTTGATAAAATCTGTTTAAAACGTCTTAAAATCAGTGATAAAAAAGTTTAAAAAAGGACGAGACAGCGGTCTGTGTGGGTTTGGAGCTTCCAGAACGAATCGCTACAACTGCCTCCAAAAGCTCTGAAGATAAAACTACTGTGTCATCTGTAGAAAAAGAAAACGGTACAGTCTCTCTCATGACTTCAGTTTCTCGTCACAGCAGTCTCTCTCTCTGCGGTGAAAATGAATCAAGGACGACTTTACAACAACCATAGATTACAGCAGCACGCGGTTATCAGACTATGTACATGGGTTTGCCCCAGTTTCACCTCGTTTGTCAAAGATTAAAACCACCGTTAAAAAGGAAAAAATATATATATAGTTTTAAAATCCCCGGCCGAGTTTCAACCCAAAGGTTTAAGATGGCGTCCCGAGGAACGCTTGAGGTAAGTGAACAGTCCTGTAAAGCTGGAGCTGCACTCCAGAGAACACAGACACACATGGCTCGATTAAAGTAAAACAGGGTCTGGGCAGCGGAGCAGTGCTTTCTTTGCTGGTTTGACCAAAAGTAAAGGAAGTGCAAGCGGCGTTGGAGGCCGAGGCCTGTCCCAGGACTCATGGTTAATTTCGAGGATTGTTTTAGGGTCAAAACTGCGGAAACAGAGACAGTTCAGGCGCAGAGGGAGAGATCTGCTCCTGTTTCTATGGAATCTGCAGACTGAGACAATCAAACTGTTGCTCTGTGTTTTTTCAGTCTGAAATACAGATTTGTGAACAGAACTTAGGAGCGAGACTCTGGTCCGTGTTTCAATGACAGAGCTGTATCTCTGGGTTTCACTGAGACAGGCCTCAGTGCTGGAGATTGTTCAAGAGCCGCGTGATGAGGGAGGGAAATAAAAAGGGGAGCGAGACCAGGGGGAGAAAGCGGAAACAAGAGAGAAGGGGGGGAGACCAGAGGCATAGACCAGAGAGAGAGAGAGATCAGAGAGGCCAGAGACTAGAAGAAGGAGAGAGGAGATAAGAGAAGGGGGAGGAGTCCAGATGAGCAGGGGGGAGAGGGGGAAAGAGGCAGGAGGATTCCAGGTGAGCAGGGGGGAGGCTCAAGCGAAGTACATGGTGTGTTGGGTGTCATAGTGGATCTGCACGGCTTTGGCCAACGCCTGAGGATCACGACCATTACTCTGACCAGAGACATGAGAGCCCTCCGCACTGCAACACAACACACATACACACACACAGGTCAGAGATACACACACTGCAACACAACACAGGAAAAACAAGCTTTTTGGTCAAAATGATATGTCCAACAGTAAACATGCTCCCAGGTTTATGACAGGGGTAATGTGTTCTAAAGGTAACCAGCAGAGAGACCAGAGAGAGACTAAAAGGAGACCAGAGAGATTGTAATGGACTACAGTCTCTCATCTATGTTGAGAAATACAGACACTTTTAAAGAAAAGAGCAGCCTCCCTCCACCTCTCTTCTCCCCCATACTGACCTGTCATGATCCTTGTCCACCAAATGGTACCGCGCCCTAAAGGCCACCAGCCGAGCGTAGTAAGCTGGAGCCGGGATGGACACAGACCGCGTGCAGCGAACGTACGTGTGGCACAACTGGTACGTCAGCAGCTGCAGCTCATCAGCCGTGAAACAATTATCATCCCACAACACATGGTAGTGAGAGGGACGGCTGGTACCCTAAGGAGAGAACACACATGGTAGTGAGAGATGAGAGAGAAGAGAGAGAGGAAAGATAGGAGAGGGGTAAGAGATGAGAGAGGTGGAGGAGAGAGGAGGAGGTTCACCTGAATGCCTGCATGGCTGCACAGGTAGAAGTCAAACTCGGAGGGGTGAGTGATGGTACTGTCCACTGTGGTACCAGCTGGGACGTTCCCGCTCTTCCCAACCTGAACACAAACAAACACCATGAAGCTGCGCCTCTTCAGCAGGAGCAGGAGCGTCTTCGTCTCCTCAGCAGGAGGTCCTCACCCGTTCGGCCTTGTCGGAGCAGAAGAGTCTGGTGTGGTGGCGTTTCTGAACCACAATGTACGTGATCCCAGGTCTGTAGTCCTCCTCCAGACTGATGCAGGCTTTTCTGATAGCAATCAGCTCCGGCCATGCCACCTGAAGGACACAAGAAGGTGAAGGAGAGATAAAAAAAGAGAAACACACCTGACAAGTACACAAGGAGGTGAGGGAGGAGGAGAGAAAGAGACACTAGAGGAGGCCACAAGGAGGTAAGAGTAGAAACACATGAGCAGGACAGGAGGTGAAAGGAGGAGGAGGAGAGAGCTACCTGTGAGGAGGACAGAGGGAGTAGGATGAGAGAAGAGAGTGAATTGTGCCACCTCCTTCCCTGCTTCATCTGGCCCTTGCTGGCGCCTCCTCTGTAGTAGATGATCCTGGTCCCTCCCCTGGTACCACCTTCCCTAGTCCTCCCCTGGTATCTGCTTTTAGTGCCCTGCACGGTCCTATTATCTGGGCCCGAGCCCGGCCCAGTCTGACAGGTTTTCAGAATTTTCAAGCCTGAACCCGTATCAAGGCCGAATTTTAACAATGTTTTAGCGCAGTATATAGTGCCATGCACTGATATGTACACAGGCCCGGTGAGAGGGCAGAGTTACACATGGTAGTGATGTGGTGCAATGAGTTCTGTGTGTACGGAGTGAACGGCCGCATCTGTATGATACACAGCTGTATGATACACAGCTGTATGATACACAGCTGTATGATACACAGCTGTATGATACCCAGATGCCGCAATAAACTACAACACACTTGAAGGTTACGCTATGTGTCGTCAATGACAACACTATACAGAACAACAAATACTACAGCGTGATAGAACGCTATATTCATTGGGTGTAATCTGCCACTCTGAAAATGAATAAATAAAAGTGCCCGAGCCCGGCCCGTGTCCGAGGTAAGTATACGGCCATCGGCCCGAGGGGCTCAAGTGCAGGGCTCTACCTGCTTTATCTGGTCCTCGCTCTCGCCTCCTCTGTAGTAGATGATCCTGGGCCCTCCCCTGGCCCCTCCTCTGGCCCCTCCCCTGGCCCCTTCTTTAAGCCCTCCACTCGCCCCTCCCCTGGGACATCCCCTGGGACATCCCCTGGTACATCCCCTGGTACATCCCCTGGTACATCCCCTGGTACCTGCTTCATCTGGCCCTCGCTGACGCCTCCTCTGTAGTAGATGATCCTGGTGGGTTTGAAGCGTGTGGATTTGTAGAACTGGATGAGGAGCTCGCGAACCATGTTGGTGAGGTCTTGGATCACCTCCTGACTGAACAGCTGCTCCTGAGGAGACACAGAGGAGGAGGAGGTTCAGGAAGAGCTCAGAAGAGACAGGGCTGGGACCAGGACCAGAAATGGGACCAGGAAGTCTGGCTCCTTTCTCTGGCTCCTATTGACTTCCATAAACTCCTCTAACTCAGTAACATTTGTGTCACTCACCATTTTGGGCTGCCTAAGCAAAAAATCTGCACCGGTTACAGCTAAGCTAAGCTAACGCCGTCAGAACAAATGCCCGTATTTGGGAAACTGGCTCCAGCTTATGTTCATATCAGCTTCTTCTGCATTAAGGCTTACACTGTGGTGATGTCACACTGTGATGATGTCACACTCCTCATATACTATTGTATATAGAGCTTGTGTAGAGTGCTGTATAAAGTGTAAAGTGCTAAAGGAGAGTATTTTACCGCAGTGGGAGCATTTACCCCAGACAGGTCCTGTCGGGAGGTCTGCACCCGCACCGTGGCGCAGTAGCGGCTGGGGTGACCGTCCATGCTGCCCACCACCGCAGCGATTGACGGCTTCTTCCCATCTCCCGCAGGAGGGTGAGTCACATCTGCCCCCAGGAAGATCACAGGCTGCTGGAAGACTGAGGGTCTGAGGGGGGGGGGGGCAAGAATGGTGAGTTGGCAGAGAGAGAGAGAAGAGGGGAGAAAAAGTTAAGATTCCCTGGTCTCCCTCTCTCTCTGTGTGGTCGGTCTCTCCCTCTCTCTGTGGTCTCCCTCTCTGCGGCGGTCTCCCTCTCTGCGGCGGTCTCCCTCTCTGCGGCGGTCTCCCTCTCTGCGGCGGTCTCCCTCTCTGCGGCGGTCTCCCTCTCTGCGGCGGTCTCCCTCTCTGCGGCGGTCTCCCTCTCTGCGGCGGTCTCCCTCTCTGCGGTCTCCCTCTCTGCGGTCTCCCTCCCGTCTCTCTGCGGTCTCCCTCTCTGCGGTCTCCCTCTCTGCTCGGTCTCCCTCTCTGCGGTCTCCCTCTCTGCGGTCTCCCTCTCTGCGGTCTCCCTCTCTGCGGTCTCCCTCTCTGCGGTCTCCCTCTCTGCGGTCTCCGTCTCTCTGCGGTCTCCCTCTCTGCGGTCTCCTCTCTGCGGTCTCCTCTCTGCGGTCTCCCTCTCTGCGGTCTCCCTCTCTGCGGTCTCCCTCTCTGCGGTCTCCCTCTCTGCGGTCTCTCTCTCTGCGGTCTCTCTCTCTGCGGTCTCCCTCTCTGCGGTCTCCCTCTCTGCGGTCTCTCTCTCTGCGGTCTCTCTCTCTGCGGTCTCCCTCTCTGCGGTCTCTATCTCTGGTCTCTCTCTAAAGGTCTCTCCTCACCTCTGGTGTGGGACCAGTACATTGTTGATCCCTCCCAGTTTCGCGTTGATCTTGAGGCAGAGGTTTGACAGAGTCTGAGGAGATGTCTTCACCACGTTCTTCACCTGGACACACTGTGTGGCCATCCCCAGGAGCGTGTCTCCTACTCGCTTCACCTCCGCTGCAGGAGGAGAGGAGAAGGTCAGCAGGAGGTGTGCAAGGTCAGCAGGAGGAGGAGGAGTAGTAGAGAGGAGGTTAGGAAGAGGAGGAGGTCAGCAGAAAGAGGAGAGAATGGGAAGTCAGCAGGAGGAGGTCAGTGGCAGGAGGGAAGCGAGGAGGTCAGGAGGAGAGGAGAGCAGGAGAGCAGGAGAGGGAGAGGAGGAGGTCAGCAGAAGAGGAGTGTGGAGAAAGAACTATGTTCCCCATTACAGGTTTTAGCAGGGTGTGACGCCCTGCCCCTTTATTGCAGCCCAATTTCAGCCTTGTTGCCTTTAAAAACAAAACAATGGCGCCCGCTGACAAGTGTCTCAACGGCGGCATTGAATCTCACAAACCTCATAAACAAAATCTGGTAATGGTTAATTACTCCAGTACAATGCGTCGCAGGAATCAATATAAACGGGTGAAGAACATGAGGCACTTTGTCAATAAGAATGCGGCTCTTTGCCTCTCATTAAGTTTGAAAAAAATACTTTTTCACAAAGAATATGGGTCAAAATGCATTAATTCCCTCTTTTCCCTCCAGAGCCGATCATCTAGCTGTAATAGTTTGCCTTTAAACACAGTTTTAAGAATATGCATAAATTCAAAAGTCTCCCGTTCGCTCGTGATGGGCAGAAGAAGCCCTGTAACGTGTTGGAGCCTCAGACTAGCTTGGAACACGACATCACTGGACAAATGTAATCATTGCAGCTTCTGAATAGCAGAGGTTTACATAGTTACTGTTGTCAATCTATTTTTAAGGAATCCCTAAACTGAATACAAATCTGTTTACATCTAAAACAATTTAAGGCAAATACAGAATAATCTAATCAAACTCAGATAGTTCAACATGGGGAAAAGGATATATTATTGTATTTATGAACCCATTTAGGCCTGAAACGCCTGGTAAATACCTGTAAAACCTATGGCTGACTTTAGAATCACCCTCTAAAACCTGAAGATTTCCTGAAATTCAATGTCTACTAAATGATTGATATCTCAACCTCTGTAGCAGATAATAATTCTAGAAGAATTTGAGAGCGGACACCTGTGGTCTCCATAAGAAAGGAGAGTATTATAATAAACCTTCATCAGAATAATACAACAAATATACAACAAAAAATAATGTGAGAATAACAAATGTCTCTCAATACATTAATTCAACAAGAGTTTGGCAATAAAGTGGCACTAAGTGTGTGGAAAAAAATATAAGAAAATCAACTTCCAGCCCAAAAAGTCAAATAATGACAGGCAAGACCCGTATGTGCAACAAGGTGGGAATGGTCTTGTACGCGCGTTTATGGTTCTGTCCAAACGTCTATGGTTCCCCAAGGAACAGAAAACAACAGCCTGCGGTCACACATTTCACAGAAATTACATTTTCAGTGGAAAAAGTGGGAATTTCGCGGATACGCAGAAGATTCTGATCCCTGGTTGATCCTGATGCATTTTATTGATCAAGAGAATTGACCTCTGAAGAGAATTGGTCAAACAAGATAAACAGACATGTCTGCTTTCCTGGCCTCAAAGGAAGAAGCGTTCCCGGCTCCATCCATTTTCTTCCCCTTAATCCATTTCTGGGTTGTGGGGTGGCAGTCAGAGCTGCACCCAGTACACAGAGCACCAGCCCCTCACTGATCCTCCTGCAGGTGGTGAGTCCACAGAAACCTTTATCTTTTAGCGGGGGCTTCGGGCAAAGTGGAATTAAGTGTCTTGCCCAAGGACACAAGGACAGCAGTCATCAGTGGGAGTCGTAAAGTAGGTCTTATGGTGGGCTCGAACCCACAACCTTCAGGCTCAAAGGGAAATGCTCTACCAACTGAGCTACGGTGGCTGAGTGGATAGCACTCTCGCCTCTCAGCAAGAAGGTCCTGGGTTCGAATCCCGGTCGGACCAGGGCCTTTCTGAGTGGAGTTTGCATGTTCTCCCCGTGTCTGCGTAGGTTTCCTCCGGGTACTCCGGTTTCCCCTACCACTAAAAATATGTCCAATAGTTCTGGCATGCGCCTCCTGTACTGGCGACCCCGCTCCCATCTCTGTGTGGAGTGAGAGACAAATGCCCAAAATTAACAATTGTAAACCGCTTTGAGACTCAGATCTGCAGTGAAAAGGCGGTATATAAATAAAAACTTACTTACTTACTTACTGTCGCTCCCGGCTCGAGAGGTAGAAATCTGGGAACACGTTCCCTGTCTCAATGCGTTATATAACACAAAGGCCCATATATTATTATTACTATCATCATATTTATCCAATTATCCAGACCAGCCATTCCCAAAGTCAGTAACACTTTGGGAATGGCCGACGGGTCTGTCAGCGGCCCCCGAAATAATAACCAAGAAGACAACGTTATCAATAGGCTCTTCTCGTTATTTTATTTGGGGGAAATAGCCTCTGCTACAAACATGTAAATGACACACCCCATTTTGTAATAGAAAAATTATTACAATTTTTGATTATTCAAGTCAAATAATAAACACAAATATTTTAATATTCTCTCATGTATTATGTAAATGAGAGAGTGAATGGATGGTGTTGATTGGGGGCTGATGGTCCAGTGTGTTCGGCGACTCGCTTCCGCCATCACCGTGTGTGGAATGATTGGAACAATATATCTAAACTCTGAACATTATAAAGCGCTTTGGGTGACCTTGGTCTGTAAAATGCGCTATATAAATAAACATTACTTACATACAAACAAAATATAATTAATTTAACATACAATAATTATATAAAACTTTTTTTTAATGACCTATCGTGGTCAATACCCTGCAATACCCTCGCGGCCCACCAGGCCACGGACCCTACTTTGGGAGACACTGATCCAGACAATGTTATTTTGGTAGTCCGACCCCTTGGTGCAGGTATAGTGTGGCTCTTATGATCACTGATCCCTATTTTCTGAGGTTTCCATCCGTGCCTTCATCAGATCTGCAGCCTGCTCTTTGTGTATGAAATGGGGAACACTGGAGAGGAGAAAGTAGTGAGAGGTCCTCTGTCTGTGTCCCCTCTGTCCGCACCATGGACAGGCGTCTTCCCTGGCTGGATGACAACAATGAGCTGGAGTCCTGACTGTCCCCTCTGTCCCCTGCGTCTCCCCTCTCCCCTATGTCCACTGTGCCCCCCCCCCCCATCATCCTCACCGTATACAGGCGTCTTCCCCGGCAGTATGACCACGATGAGCTGGAGTCCCACGTAGGACATCTTGAGGTGTTTGAACATGGGCTCCACGCTGTCCGCTCCCTGAGCGTATTTACAGAAACACGGCTGGCCCTGGATCGGCATACCAGCATCCTTTGAGATCTTCCTCAGCTGGTCTGTGAAGCTCCTGGACCAGGAAAGAGAACCATGAAGAACCAGGAGAGAGGACCATCAGGGACCAGGAGAGAGGACCAAGAAGTAACAGGAGAGAGGACCAAGAGGGACCAGGAGAGAGGAGACCATCAGGGACCAGAACAGGGAAGACCATCAGGGACCAGAAGAGAGAAGACCAAGGACCAGGAGAACCAGAGTGAAGTCAGGACTCAACATGAAAACATGAGAGCAGAAATAAGTCTCTCCCAAGTAGTCTCTCTGGCTTTTCTCTGATCTCTACAGCCTCAGTCCTGGTGGGTCTACTGCCTCAGTCCTGGTGGGTCTACTGCCTCAGTCCTGGTGGGTCTACTGCCCCAGTCCTGGTGGGTCTACTGCCTCAGTCCTGGTGGGTCTACTGCCTCAGTCCTGGGTCTTACTCACTTGAGTAGGTCTTCTCTGCACTGCTTCTGAGGAGCGAAACAGGCCACTGCCCACACTTTGATCTCGATGCCGGCGTAGAACTGCTTCCCCCTCATGTCCCACACGCCCTGGTTCGGGGTCGCCACTGTCTTGTTCTGCGGACACACGCCCTACAACCTTAGTCAGCCACACGACCTCTGACCCCACAGGGAGAGGAGGACAAACCCCTGACGGAGGGCCCACCACCTTGTACTCACCCTGCCACAGTCTCACCCAGACTCTGTGCTGGCCCTCCCCACCCTCCCCCCTGTACTCACCCTGCCACAGTCTCTCCCAGACTCTGTGCTGGCCCTTCCCCCGTACTGCAGCATCGGAGCTGGGAGCACGCGTCCCGTCACCTCTGTCATGTCGTTATGGACCACAATGCCAAACTCCTTCAGGTACGGGTCCGGACCCCCCACCATACTGTTACTTTTCACCTGGTAACAACACATGGTTTAGTGAGAACAGAGACAAGACGGAGACAAGGGAGACCAGAGAGACCAGAGAGAGGCCAGAAATCCGAGAGAGAGGCCAGAAACCAGAGAGAGCTGAGAGAGAGACCAAAGAGACCAGAGAGAGACCAGAGTCTTGTCTCACCAGGCGGCTGATCTCCTCCTGTCGGTCTGGAGCAGACCTGGCGGTGGCTTTGATCATGGTGGATGTTTGATTATCCGTCAGTTTCTTGATGCAGCGTTGACCAGCTACAATGTTACAGACCTGAGAAACAGACATCCAGCATTTATTAAAGTGGCAGAAACAGTAACAGAAATAAGAGAAACAAGTGTGTGTTGGTGTTGTATGTGGTGACGTTCTCTTGCGAAGAGGCCGCAGAATGTTACGTTCACTGAGGCTTCAGAGACTTGGTGCATGTTATTATTATAGATCCATGCATGGATGTAGTTCAGAGAGTGCATCGCTTTAACAGGTTGCTTTGTGATCTTTTACATGATGTCAGAAGTGAGTCCAATCCGGAGACATAGAGGTTTAGAAGTTTCCGGTTTCTTCTGAAGACTCCACCTTGGGGTGCATATACAATTTAGGAGTGTGGCTATTCATGGCTTGTTATTTATTTATGTATTAGTTTATTTGGAAGGGACAGAACAAAGGATATTGTTACATTATAACCGATAGCCAGAGGCTAATTTTCAGACCTGGTCCGTAACGTTGTTTGAATGACTACATCAAAGAACTAAGATGTCATGGAATCCCAGATTTGGTCATGTCAGACAATGGGCCTCAGTTTGCAAGTGAGAAATTTGCATTTTTTTTGACTGCAATTCAGTCAGTGAAGAATCTGCCAAAGCAACCCTTATTTGGAACTTGAAACGCACCACTGGATGGAGTGAAGCTATCTCCAAGTCAGATGCTTATGGGAAGACAGCTTAAAACGAAACTGCCAACAAGTGCTAATCTGTTCAAGCTAGAGCTGTTCAACAACATATAAAAACATCTAAAAACAAGACAACAAAGAAAAAAACATTATTACGATCGAGGAGCTCAGGATCCTCCTCACCTAGAGGAAGGAGAAGCATTAATGATCAGAGTCGGCAACACTTGAGTAAAGCCTAGTGTATGGTCCCGCGGAGCTTGCGGTGGTGACGTGACGTCACTTGCGCAACGCGTGGATCACCGCAAGGCCCTTTTGTAGCCTGCCGCGCACCCTCGAAAATGTCTAACTACGTAAGGGTTGCCGCAAGGAAGCTCCGCTGTGATTGGTCCGTGTGTGACTACTTTCTGTGAAGCATGGAGCGGCTGCAGGAGCATGGACGAGGCACTTCGGCGCAGACTGCTTTGCGCTTCGAAGGAACCAAAGAAAAAGCAGTTTGGGCTCGTGCCTCAGAGCATGATATGACAAGAGTTCTGTTGCATATCTAACATTTATATAAACTGTACAGTCGTTTCTTTTGCACTGTTCCTGCGCCTGTTTTTGTTTTAATCTGCACTTGTAGCTTATCGCGTTTGTTGCATTCCTTCTGCACTTGTAAATCGTTCATGTTTGTCGCAGATATTTACCACTTATTGTTTTGCTGTTTGTGCTGAATACAATTGAATAATAACTGTTTCCAACAACAAGTGTGTCTTTATTCACAACATCACAGTTAAATGAGTTGAAACGATGAGTCCATAGAACTATCACATAAACCTACAGCAGTGTTGTGCGTGAACGAGTTCAAAAGAACGCGTTCATTGAACACGCTCATTTTTTTGTGAACGTTGAACTGAACGCAACACATTTTTAAAAAAAGAACTTGAACGTGAATTAGTTCATTTTGTGTCATGAACGGCAGACATCACTGTGAACGTTGGAATCTGTTTTCTCTTTTGAAACGCAACGAGAGAAAGTTCCTCCCTCCTGTATTCTCGCACTTTTTCCGCCGAAATCTAAAAATTCCTACGGTTTCCACCCTCTGTGAACGCACCCCGACTCCGTGTTGCGGTGCGGCGCTGTGAGCCGGTGCTTTTCACATGTGCCCGAGTCGTGATGAAAACACAGGGTGAGTTAGCGACAAAGTTTACACCGTTTACATTTGACATAAAGTATAGACACACGCACTACAGCGCATTACTGTCTGTAGTTTATGAGCAGAGATGGAACAACTCCGTTTGGCTCCCATTGAAAACCATGTAAATCTTGTCTGTTTTGTGGTCAAAAGGCTCTCCTCCTGTGGGTGTACAGGAGATATATATATATATATGTACTGTTGTACGTACACATTTATATTATAGCTCGTAGTGTGAAAAAAAGTATTTGACTATTTCACAAAAAAAGTAAAATGAACTGAACTTTGAACTAGTTCAGAATTAAAATTGTGAACTTTGAACGTGAACTGTTCACTTTGAGCATGTATGAACTGAACTTGAACTAGTTCAGAAAAGTTGTGAACTGGTACAACACTGACCTACAGTAGAAATGTAATGATCTCAAACAGTTTGGTTTGTTATTGTTTTTGTTCTGAAGAGGAGAAAGCAGTAGCATAAGTGGGACTGCTTTGGTTTCCCCATGGATTTCCCAGGCAACTCCTGTGAGATCGCCAACACGTGGTTGGTTGTGGGATTACAACATTCTCTTCACAACTCCGCAAGGGGAACGCGCGACTGTACCACCAACTGTGGTTACGTAGGTCCAACGTAACTGCAACCTTAAGCAGCGCCGCGCGAGTGTACGCAGGCCTTAAAGAAGCTACCTGCTACCGCAACACGCGTCCATTGTGATTTCATCCACATCTACATTGTACTAGAGCTGGGCGATATGGCTGAAAACTATATCACAATATAGGTTATTCATATCGGTGATAATTATTGATTTTTATATATATATATATTATTTTAAAACCTCAATAAATACATTTGTCCCCAGTCACGGAGCAATGAGAACTCAGGCTGGAGGCAAAAGTTCATATGTTCAGGCACAGTGTCAGTCCTGGTTTAATGTAGGGGCCGTATGCTTAAAGAAGTCCTGTCAGAGAGCTCCTAACTTAACATAAAAACTCCTAGGTAAGAGTCTTAGATTAAAAGTTATTCCAGAACATTCTTGGGGAACTCTGAGCAAGGAATGGACAAAAACTCCTATATTAATGAGGAGGCGTGGCCGACCCCGTTGCAAGGTACGAGTCATCATTTCAGACACTGATTGGTTGATCCTGCTTAGAGAAAACATACTTTTGGTGATGATGGGCCAAATAAGGACCCTCAAATTGACAAACAATTGGTTTAGTCCTGGTTTAGCTCCTGTTTTGGCTGTTTTCGAGTGTCTTCAGTTATCTTGCTCTGGCTGCTCGCTTGTGTCCCCGAGGCCATTTTGCGGCTCTCTGATAGCCGCACGTGCTTCCAGAGGAAAAAGTTCATCTCTTGCTTTTGCCGCATGTATCAGTTGCCGTACCCACTCCCTCTACAGCGCTACAAATGCTATTCCTGGCACGGACGTGCATAACCATTGACACGGCATTGAAACATGTCCCCCAGAATGCTTCTGACTCTTTTTCTAACAAAGTGAAGTTAAACTATCAAACATTCTATCGACCACACGTCAATCGCGACATACATCGTTTTATTATATGACTTGGACCGTACGCGCGCTCTGATTGGCTGATTACCGGTCTGATATTTTCCCATCTCAGACCGTTACTATGACAATTTGTTCCGAACAACGCTTATCACATTTGATATGTTTCCTCAGACCGTTACCATGACAATCAGTCCGCAGCGCGTATCACAATTGATTTCTTGCCTGAGTTTCCTCGGCCAAAAAGAAATAATGGGCGACAACTGGGAGCATTCTCCAGTGAATTCTATTATCCGGACGAGTTTGACGAGCCAGAGGAATAAATTACAGAAAATAAGGAAGAAAAAACAACTAACAGACAAGATTAGATTGACAACTTCGCTGCAGACCAGAAAGCTAAAAACACGATTAGGAAAACCAAGTCGGAGATTGATATTTGCATAAATTAAAAATAGTCATATAATAAAACATTTATTAACCTCGCTTGCTCGGTTAATAAGCCGTTAATATCGCCCAGTCCTACATGGTACCGTATGTTACATCATTCACAGCACGTACGCACACAGAGCCATCAATCCACGGGTGTGCCATTTCTTATGAGTGCCCTCAACAGAAAAGTGCCCTCCAATAGGGGAGTGCACTCGTTGATATTCTCCTAACACAAGAGCCTTCAGAATTGGGAAGGCCCTATATTCACGTCACCCAGAAAAATTTCCCTACTGAAATTAACCTACAGTTTTCATAAAGGAGGATTTTGTGGAGATTTTAGACTCTTGTTGTCCTGAAGTTTTTTTCTTGATAAATCCTTTGGTGTTCTAAAAATCCACACTTTAGTGCGACAAACTCTGTTGGTTTTCCTCCTGCTATAGTCCCGCTCTGATCACCAGCTCTGATTGGCCAGAACGCTGCCCCTCTGTGCAGGTGCATGAGAGCCACTGAGCACAATCCACTGATTTGAATACACTGCCATCTTGGTTTGTAGGGACTTGGATGCGTCCCCCAGCTTTACTGGGATGTAGTGCTGCCTCTTATCTCCGGAGGCAGTGTTTACAGTGATGCAGTACCGTCTCTCACCTCCAGGGGCAGGTAGGTGTGCTTCTGCTCCTGTCCCACTTGCAGACAGGGTAAGTGCGGATACTTCAGCTGAAGGTTGTACTTCTGTTTAAAATACTGAGCCACTGTGCACTCCATGGCCTGTCCATTCTCCAGCTGCAGAGGGAACCTGGACCAGGGAGAGACCAGTGAGACCAGGGACCAGTGAGACCAGAGAGACCATGGACCAGGGAGACACCAGTGAGACCAGAACCAGGAAGAGAGACCAGAGAGAGACCAGTTAGACTGTACATAGACCAGCGAGAGATCAGTGAGACCAGAGAGGGACCAGAGAGACCGTGGACTGGGAGACACCAGTGAGACCAGGAACAGGAAGAGAGACCAGAGAGAGACCAGTTAGACTATACAGAGACCAGAGAGAGGTACCAAAGAGAGTCATGTTTTTGCGTGTGTGTGGCTCACGTTTGGTGACTTGCCGGTCGTCTTGTTACATTGCAAACTCGATATTTTCTTTTCATCTGACCACAGTGTGTGACCTCCACTTTTAGACCTGAGAAAGAAAACACATGAAGGTCATTCATCTCGTAAAGCTGTTTTAAGATAAATAATCAGAGAGAGCAGAGACAGAGCAGAGACAAATCAGAGAGAGAAGAGAGAGAGCAGAAAAAGACCAGAAAGAGGGAGCAGAGAGACCTGAGAGAGCAGAGAGACAGAGCAAAGAGAGAGCGGAGAGACCAGAGAGAGAACCCATATGGAAAAGATGAACAAATATTTTATAGGACTTGCTTGAAATGTATACATTACACATATGACAGTCAAACAACATACAAATTCTATAGAAAGATTGTTTACTCCAAATTACACACAAACACACACACAGGTCTCCCAGTCCCACTCCCATCCTTCTCTTTATAGCAAGTTTAGGGCTGGGCAATAAATCAATTTGAATTATTAAGTAAAATTTGACGTTTTACGGCGATTTTTTTTCTTCAGCGCGGAGCTACAGAGCAAACACGCTAACCGCGGGTGTTGAGTCATTTTGAAAGCTCCCTAATACTAACAGTCTCCCTGTTGCAATAACACTTCAGATGTTCAAGAATCAGACTTTATTTAATCACGAGAACACACCAACACACACTTATCTCCTGCATGGCTCCGGTCGCTCTGCTCGTACGCCACACTTTTCATTTTTTCATTCTCATGCATTCATTTCTCAACGCTCACGCTCGTTACTCGAAAGCGCGCTCCCGTGTCCGCTGCGCGCACACACACACACGTACACGTGTCCGCTGCGCACACACACACACACACGTACACGTGTCCGCTGCGCACACACACACGTGTCCGCTGCGCACACACACACGTGTCCGCTGCGCACACACACACGTGTCCGCTGCGCACACACACACACACGTGTCCGCTGCGCACACACACACACGTGTCCGCTGCGCACACACACACACGTGTCCGCTGCGCACACACACACACGTGTCCGACTGAGCTGCTGCACTTTGGGGAAAGGCACGCCTCACACATTGCTCTCATTGCTCTGATACAAACAACGCGTTCCATGATCGAGCTGTTAGCTACAGTAGCTGTTAGCTACAGTAACAGAATGTAAACAGGAAGAGAAACGGAAACTGTTGTATTAAATATAGGCTAAAAGGCGATGTGAATTAGATTGACCTGAAATTGAACTCTGTCTGTCTCCAAGCAAAAAGAAAGACCTTGTATTGCCCCACTCCCCTGGTCCCATTTTGTCCAAAGTGCATGGGTGAGTTAATGATAGTTAATCTGGGGGGATTCTGCTAATCTTTTCAAGTTGTGAAAGAAGGAGAGCTTTCTGCCTTATCTCAAAGGAACCAATAAATCTATAGGTTGGGGAGGGGGAGTGTGTGCATGATTATGTCTAGGTCTGGCGAGACGGAGAAGACATGATGGAGGCCGGACCCGGGACCCGAGAGAAACGACACGCCCCCTTCTTCATGCACATTTGCTTAAATAACCTCATGCTTGTTTTAGACTAGACTGGATCAGGGACAGCAGTGTGACTTTGCGTGGAGCGCCCACCAAAGTTATACTTTATACTTTATATAGGGAATAAGGGATAGTTAAAGTTGGTCCAGGTCGTTGTGTTAGATTCTTTTGTATTAGGGAAATAAACCTTTTTTGAATTTAACTTTCTGAATCCTGGTCATCTTTATAAGGGATTTTGAACACGTCATTTTTTAATACAATAAAACTTAAAGCTGCACTAACTGACTTTATGTATTCATTACAAAAATGCTATCCATGTCCATGCAGTGCATTGGAATATACGTCTTTTTGAAAAAAAAGTAGCGCAGATTTGGGCTGGAGTGACATTATATTGTAGATCGAGTTTTGATGAAACAAGGAAGAGAATGTGTTTCGGGTCGCGGATTGTGCCAATCACAGCGGACCACTGGCCCCCGCTTTTGTGAGAAATCTACAGGTCCGTTAGCATAGACGGCTGAGTTAGCACAACAAGCGGCGGAGCTAACCTGAAGCTTCCTCGTCTTCGTCACCGGTTACTGCTTACACAACGAAACAGCCATCCAAAAGAAAGTCCTGTTCCTCCGCGTTTCCCGGTTCTATCGTTCTAGGGTCACGCCATCCACGTGCAAATCCATGTCCATGTATTATCCATACTGGGAGACGCTAGCTCCGTCCCAACAGTGGGTGTGTGTGGGGGGGCGATAGCTTCGTGGGTGCGGAGAGGCCAGCGAGTCCGCAGCTTCAAAATCCCAAAGTCAGTTAGTGCAGCTTTACCTCTCACAACGCGGTAGTCACTAAAGTTAGTATTAGCGCCACCAGCTGGACCGAGCGTTGTACTACAGCACAGTTGCTCTGGTACGGTTGAAAGAACAAGCATGAAAACCCAAGGAGGAGGCTTTTGTAACAGACTTTCTCTGTTATAACAATTGTATTTAGAGAAATCATTCATTTTGTGATATTTCATATAAATAATGCATGTATTTAATAGGATTGATATATTTGCTATGGCCCTCAGGTGCACTGCAGGTGCACTGTGTCACTGTAAGTGAAGGTAACTAATAAGCTACATTGTCACTGTTTACAATGGCAGGGCCATCTCGTTTACAAGCATGTTTTAAGGCTTTTTTCCTGTTACACTTATGCTTCGTGGGGAAATTTAGATTAAACTGCATAAAGGAATCTATTTCTTTGTCAATTGTAGTTTGTTTTAAAATAGAAAAAAATTAATCGATTAAATTTGAAAATCGGATTTGGTGTGAAACAAATTGAAGACATTTTTTAGCCATATCGCCCAGCCCTAAGCAAGTTAAGCCCTCCCACTTTGACCCGCCTTTTCATCATTATTTGCATTTGTCTCAGTAGATAAATTACATACATTTCAACCCTCCTAAAAAATAAAAAGAATGATGGGTTTGAGGGTTTGCGGTGAATTTAAAAGATATTTCAGCGCACCTTGAAGCACTGAGGAGTCATCACACTCAGAAACAATGCCGTGAAAAGTTTAACAAAAATGAAGTAGGATTATGGGCTTGTTCACACTAAAGGGCACAAAAGTGTGACAAAAGGCCAAAAATTTGATTTTAATTATCAGAAGATATTTTATGTTTTTCATGTTTCCAAGCACCTCCTCTGTCCATTAGAAGTTGCTAGAACATAACTGTTTTATACATTAGACAAGTTTCCTATAGCGGCCCTGTTTATTTTATCTAACGGACGTGATGATTTGACGGAATGAGCTTTGTGAAGTTTGATAGGTATTTTCAGATGTCCACATTTGATTCAGAGATTCTACTTTTTTACACAGAGTAGAAACAAAGTGATACTTTCATTTAGTCAACCAATTAAATGTAAAAACAGACCAGATTTTTTTTTTCTCAATTTAATTTTTAGAGAAAAATGGACGGAACCATCACATCCGTTACACATTTTTCAAGGGTCATTTAATTTTTTTTTTTATTTTTTTTAACGATTCCTTTTTATATCAAGTGATTTCCTCCTGTTGTGTTAACCATGTAAATCTTGTGGGATTTAATCTTCCGCTTTTTCAGACTGAGGACATTTTATTTTCTATGTCACTGGCGTCACAGTAGAATGTCCAAATCAGAGGCTGATTTTGGTCGTTTAAAATGTGCAAAAAATTTTCATGTCAATCTTCCCTTTTGATTGTATCCACACTATCTCTTTGATTTGTCTGCGTTTGAAATCTTTTTTCCAATCTATGATACTAATTTTAGTTTTTGAGTTATAACCTTTTCAAGTCCAGATACTTCAATTGACACTTTACTGTGAACACACTCATGTAGCATTTTGAAGAGACTTACAAAGTCGAATCTGGCCAGTGGCACTTGTAGTTGGGTTTTAGGTTTAAACAGCCATTATTTATAAATAATATCTATATATTATACAATGTTTAGCGGTCTAAAGTGATCCTCTTGCAACCGACTAATTGTTTTGAGATTGATAAAGCAATGAAATAGTAACATTATTTTTACATTCGAGATATCAGCCTATTTTTAGCAGATTTCTTACATACTCTATATACACACATATATATTTGGTAAAATTATCTAAAAGGCTTTCAACAGCTGCTACCACTTTAGAGCAACAGAATGAACTATTGTACCAGTGACTTTGTGAACATAGACAGCTGTAACCAAAAGGGGCTGGGTTTAACATATGTTGGGAACAATTTAATAATTATTGTGAGAAAATCACAGAAAACCAGTTTGAATCGTTGAGTGAGAATGATACAACCCTAACATGAGCACCTAGTGTGAATAGGTGTCCTTAAACACACACTGGTGTTGTGTGAAAGCTGTGAGATGCAGTCTGTACATGTGCAGGTGTGATCTACGTTCCCTTTGGAGGCGTCCACTTTAAGGCTGTGGGGTCAATAGTCTTTCCGTTTCCACGTTTGGTTTCCTTTGCTTTCCAGTCGTCTATCAGGTCCTGAAAGAGAAGAACAGTCTCTGTAGTAGTTGCAGGCAGTGCAGTGTGTGTACTGTGGTAGTATTTGTCGTACTTGTCTCTTCAACACCAGGTGCTTTCCCTTCCAGTACTTGAGCATCTGGAGCGACTGCAGTGTGCTGACGATATCCACCGGGTTCACCGCAGTCTCCTGGCTGATCTCTGTCCACACAAAAGGCACAAATGGATTTGCCCTCAATTTGAATAGTTCCTCCGGGTTTAAAAAGTAAAAAAAAAAGATCACTCCATAGACCAAACAGAAGGATTACTTCCAATGTTTTTTATAGTTTTTAAATCAAAATGTTTTTCAACTCTAAAGAAATCAAATTCTGCGGTCGCTTTATCTCTTTGATATTGACCAAAGGGCTCAAGTCGAGACGGCAATTCGTTTTAAAGATGGAATGTGCCTCTAAAGGAAACCGTAATATTAAAGTTTCTAAATATCACTCAGAACTTCAGTCTCAAGAGGTTTAAAAGAAAACTTTGCACCATTATTGAGAAAGCCTTTTCTTGGCGAGCATACTGTATGAGTGCTGACCTATTTCAGAAAATACTTGATTCGAGGTCAACTGCTCTTGACAACACTGTCATAAACACACCTGGCGGTTTTCTAGTTCAGTCGAGTGTAAACAGTAGCAGCGAGAACATTCTGTCCAGGCAGCTGACCCTCACAAAACTCTTTCAGTCGGCTACGCTTGAAGAACAGGTAACTACTATTACTATTACTAGCACTATTACTATTAATACTAACGATAGTACAACAGAAGCCCAGTTGTCGTAAATAAAAATAAAGGTTTGAGTACATGGTAGATACGGTAGTACACAGTAACTGCTGAATGGGAGAAACTTCTCACACCTTTGATGGAGATTTCTTTGCCCTGGAAGTTGTTGAGATATCGCAGTAGAACCTCCTTCCAGTAACTCCTGTAGCTGATGAGGCCCAAGTCCGACAGGGGCCGCTCCGGGGACCCCACCTTTTCCTCGACTTTAGACAGGAGGTAACCTGAAGACACAGTCATGTATTTCATCAAACTCAATACACGCAAATTCAATGCTTTTTGGTAAAAACATGCACTCACTGAAGTCAATGAGCATCTTGCCGTAGCCTTGCCGCATGTACTGAGGCATGGTCAAGATACATGACACGTTGTAGTTCAGAAAAGAGTTCTTCTCCTGTGAATGGAATAGGTCATAATAATGTATCGTTATAGATGAAAACACAGCACACAAGTGAGTGCATGAATAATCTATATGCTGTGACCTGTCCTGCTCCACCCAGCGGCTACTCCACCTCTGCAGCTGTGACCTGTCCTGCTCCACCCAGCGGCTACTCCACCTCTGCAGCTGTGACCTGTCCTGCTCCACCCAGCGGCTACTCCACCTCTGCGACTTTACTACTGCTATTGTTAGCTACTTTTAGAATTATGTATTTATTTGTTTTGAATGTGTGGCTGGATGTGTTTCTGCTGCTACTGGACACCTGAATTTCTCCTACGGGGGAATTTTATTTTTTGCTTTTGAATGCGCTGGAAAGGGCAGCAAGTCCTAAGTAGCTCTGAAAGTTTTACAATTGTTATTTTTCTTGCTTTTTTTCTACCTGAGATGTTGCTGCAGTTCAGAGTTCATGGTTTTACACTGGTCCAGACCGGAGCAGAGAGGATTCATGGTCCAAAATCAGCGGATCAGGCCAAAATCCACTGGAGGAGGGCTAAAAAATGCTAACAAAGCATTTTGGACCAGAGTAGAGAAAATGGTCCGAAACCAAGCAGCAGCTCCACCTCTGCTGTTGTGACCCATCCTGCTCCACCCAGAGGCTCCACCATCTCTGCTGTGACCTGAAGTGCTGTTTTTATTATTACTACTACTACTATTGTTAGCTTTTAGATAGATCAATGTATTTGTTTTGTTTGTGTAAATGGATGGATGTGTTTTTGCTGCTACTAGACACCTGAATTTCTCCTCTGGGGATCAATAAAGTATCTATCTATCTATAAAGTGTCTATCTATTGATTACGAATGCAACGGTTTGAAGACAGTCACCAAACAAAATAACATGTACCTTGGAGAAATAGCCGATAAGATGGCAGCCTGTGTTGTCTGCTTCGGTCATAACATAAAAGAGAAATGGCTCAACGTCGTAATATAGAGTTTTGTGATCCAGGAAAAGCTTGGCCAGTAGACACAGGTTCTGGCAATAAATCTGAACAACAAAGTTTAATTCATACAGTGTCATATTAGGTCTCTGATAATACAAACAAATCTTACCTTGTTTTTTTTGCCATCCACCTCAAACACAGAGATATTGGTCTTTCTGTAGATCTCGTCACCTGGAGGATGCTTCCACACGCATTTGGCCTTTAGACAGAATGGAAAAATATATAAGCACTGAGAATGCACTTTTATACTGCTACAATATGAAAATCTGTGTTTCCAATGTAGCTCCACAAACATTTCATTTCTGTATTGTCTAGACAACTGTATTAATAAAAAAAATATTAAGAACCCGGACTGTTCAATAACATACTTCTCTTTAGTTCAAAAAGGTTACAACTTTTTTTTGATCTTGGCTCAAAAGATGTGTGCTCTTTAACTCAAACCCGACAGACGACACATTTGACGTCACATAACCGCTGATCGGAGCTGCGTACCATGTGTCTGCGCAGAATGGTCTGACTCTTCATGTATTTGAGGCAGAACTCGCACATGTAGAGCCTCCCCAGACGAGCGTACTCTTCTGGGTAAGGGGAGTGATACCAGGTGTCCAGCTCGTATCGACCAAACACTATGGTCTTTATCATGTTGCCGCCCTCAGACACATGGCCTGCAAGTCGCAGCTTTTTCCTGTGAGAAGACACACTAGAAGTGAGAGATTCGTTATAAAAGAGAACAGACCGAAGGGCACAGGGTGAAAAAGCTTGTTTTAGAGTCAAGTCTAAAATAAACAGCAAGTCATAATGATGACTATAATGTTTCTAAGAATTTTATTAATTCCAAAAGTTTATGGGCTTGTGCACAAAAGTGTGACAAAGGCCATTAGATTTTGATAATCAGAACATATATTATGTTTTTCATGTATCCAAATACCTCGTCTGTTTATTAGAAGTTGCTAGAACATATGTTTTTTACGTTAGACAAGTTTCCTATAGCGGCCCTTTTTACTTTATGTAACGGACATGATGCTTTAACGGAAGGAGCTTTACGGAAGTTTGTTACATATTTTCAGATGTCCACATTTGATTAAGAGAATCTTTTTTTTTACACAGAGTAGAAAAAAGTGATACTTTCATAATAGTAAACCACTTAAATATGAAACCAGACCATTTTTTTTCTAATGTTAATTTTTTATAGAAAAATTTACGGAAACCGTCACGTCCGTTACACGTTTTTCAAGGGTAATTTAAATTTGTAGTGATTTTCTTAAACCTACAAACGTGCTTAGCATCAAATAATATATAGATCTATTTAAAATAACTTCTGTAAATGCATTCACGTTTTTTGAAATGTTGATCAAAAAGTATTTTCTGGCACTAAACCCATAGGTTTGGACATGTACAGTAAGTACACTCAGTACAACAATGCTCACAGAAACATCTGAGCATTGGATCTATATAGTCTTCACATCCAGGCCATTGTTCTTTTGTATTAATAATTGACCCCTTGTTTACGTCTAATAAGACATTACAGGGGGTTGCCAGATAAGCTTGTGTGTCGTCTCTCACCAGGTCCTCTGAGGCTCGGGCTTGTGCCTTCCTGAACAGCTCCAGGTCATAGTCACTGGTGATGTTCTCCAAAAGAGGTTCTCTGCAGCTGGCGTGGCTCGGACGATGATCCTACGAATATATAAAAAACAACAAACTAACTAATGTACAACAAACAACAACAACAAAAACCTTTGTATTTGTACATTACAATGTGCTTGTCTTTGTGCTCCTTGTTTGGAGTAGTGCTCTTCTTTCGTCTGAGCTCTGTCACTTTTTCTTTGTAGCGTAACTGACGGTCCGAAGGCGCCTATGGGAATAATGCATAGTTACAACATGATGGTGAGTTATGCCTAGCGTACATCGGACTGGCAACTGATTATATCCGTCGCATATGAGTTACTGCCCCGCACACATCCACAATCTGGCGAAAACGGGCAACTCCTAGTAGCAGACCAGTCACGAGAATAACAGCGCGTACATCGACAGCAACTGGCCGTCACCTACAGTGTGTTTTCTGACATAAACTGTAGAGGGCGCGCAATACACGCAATACACACATGTTGTTGAAGCGCGCCATGGATGTATTAGGAGCGCGCACATCGGGTGTTATCTCCGGATCTGAGTACAACTAGTTGCCAAAAAGTAGAACACGGGCAACTGACTGAATCCGGAGATCGACTGTTTATCTCCAGTTGTAAGAGCGCTCACATCGACCGATTTAGGCAACTGATCATCTCCCACCATCTCCTCTCAGTTGCCAAAAGCCGCCATGCAACTAGTTGTCTCCAGTTACTCTGTCGATGTACGCTAGGCTTAAGTCCTTAAGACAGAAAACTCAGCCCATGCCCACACTAGTAAACCTATCATCAGACACAACAGACTGGATTTGCTTTGCTGCACGTCAACATCACTGTGAATAACCTTGTTTTATCACAACAGTGAAAGAGAGATTTCCCCTCGAAACACAAACATCTCTGTTTAGAAACTCAGTTCAGCCTCTGTGATTGAACAGACAGGTCACCGATGGCATATTTGACCCTCCAGGGAAATCAACATGGGTGATACCTGGCTTCTTGTGGAGTGCCTGTTCTCGTCCTGACGGTGTGATAGCGCCCTTTCCTCCGCCTGCTTGTCTCGCACTGTAGCTTTGCCCTGACAAAAACAACAACAAATTATGTCACTGAGAGCCCCACGGCAATAAAACAGAACAACACTCATTTATGTTTTCAAAGTGACCATTTCTATTTGATTCTTTTTGTTTTTATTGGATATTTAACGTAGAATAGTTTGGTAAAGACATTGCATCAAAACATTTGGATTTGCACAGCACTTTTGTCTAACATTGAATTGTTTTTTTTTTAAATTGTATTTCAGAGAGGTAATAATTGGTTTTAAGAGTACCTTGCTTTCATCAGAAGACAGATTGTGATAAAGAGGACATCCGGATATGGAGAAATGCCTCTCGTGTCTTCCAGTTAGATGACCTAAAAGAAAGAACCAGTTGATGATCCTTTTACACCACGCCAATAATTAAGGAAAACAAATATTAAGCATAATATAACTATTATATAATACTACTTTCTGATCATTAAGCGGTGGCTCATACCCAGTGAGTTACATCCTGGAGTCGGGCACTTCATGTTGAAGTTTTAACTTTCATGGAAGCGTCGTCTTTTGGGTCGATGGGACAGGTCGTGGGCCGCAGCCTCTTTGAGTGACAGCTCCTTGGCCAACCTCTCATCCTCAGTGATGTCATTCGCAGGACTGGAAACCTCATTGTCGGACTCAGATGAGTGGGTGTTACCAGTGGGGGTCCGAGGAGGACTCTCATCTCGGTCTGCCCCATGTTTTAACTCTGTATCAAAAGGAAAAAGCAAAGTGGTATTAAGATTGCTGAAAACACATGGAGCAATAGGAGGACAATCCTTTCCATGTGTTTTATAAATGAACAGTGATAAAACTAAACATTAATGTCATGTTTAGTTTTCTAGATCACGTTATACTCAGCGTTCAGGAGAATTTTGTTTAAGTGTCTATTGTTGAACATAGGGCAAAAAATAAATAAATAAATAAATATTATATATATATATATATATATATATATATATATATATATATATATATATAGTGCAAAGTTATATACTGTACAAATAGGGCAAGGTAATAAGTAGATTAAGAGACATATTATTTGTATTTATTTTAATAATAATAATAATGCGTCGGTTTTATATAGTCATTGTTCATTCAATTCATACACGGTGGTGTGAAACTACTTCTGTAGCCACAGCTACCCTGGGGTGCACTTACAACCTGTATGTGCCAATTGCCACTTCAACCACCAGCAGTCATTCACACTCATACACACATATACACACACCAGACTCATCCTAGGCACTGAGGGTGAAGTTTCTTGCTTAAGGACACAACGACAGTTTGGCACTTTACTCCCGCCATGAATTTCTTTCATTATATTAGTATAAAAACTCTCACCGTTTGTCTCAGTGTCTGAGCCTGATGATCTGCTTTGGCGCAGTGGGTACTTCTTGGCTGTGGCATTTGCTGCCCCCAACTGGCTGCGTGTGATTCTGCGTCCAGATGTGAAAATGGATGCTGCAACTGATTCTCTCCGGCTTTCATTTGGTGCCACTGGAGAGCTGCTCCGGACTTTGCGGTCTAAAAATAAAGTCATTTGTATGTAATGTCAAAACAGTTTGAATAAAGAAATATTCTAATAAACTAGAACATTTGTATTTATTCACAGTGAAGGTGCATTATGCAAGTAAAATGCCATTGAGCTATTATTGCTTTTTATAATGATGGTAAAAACTGTGTAACGTGAAGAAAAATCCCATTTCTCTCAAAACAAGGCAAAGGATGACAAATCAAATTGTGAAAGAGCTGATAAGGAAATGAGAAAATTGTACCTGAAGTTTGTGTATCTTGGGAGCTCCGACTGAGACGGAGAGATGCTCGAGTTAGACGTGTGCTGCTGCGTCTGCGCACCACCTCAGCTGGTTCCTCTGCTGAGAAGTCAGAGTCCTCCGTGCCGTCCGAGCTGCTGCCTGCTGTCCGCTGCAAACATTCAATAGATAGTAAGAGACAACAGAAGTTCAGCGAGGATAGTGTGGCAGTAGGTTTTACCAGTGGGTAGTTCCACATTGATCCCATAATGGAAATGGTTTGCTTGTTTAAAGAGTGTAGATACGAGGATATAATATATATTTAACATATTGCAAAAGCTCTATTGAACTGATGTAGTGATGACTACATCACTCCAGAAATAAAAAATATGTAATTCCCTTCTGATTGACAGCTATTTATAATCTACAAATACTATGAGGCTGTGTTTACTGGAAATGTTGGCTCGCCAGCTAAAATGAACTGGTGGTGAGTGGGGGTAGCCGATAAAAGGCAGATGACAAGGAGCTCTCCTCAAACCCTCACCCACTGCTGAATGAGTGGGGGTGGGGTACAACTCCAGCTGACTACTTTACATAATGCAAATGTATAATGTAAAGAGATGTTGCATATCGTAATTAAGAAATAGAAAGTCAATCAAAGTAAATATACACACACCATATGTCATAAGTAAGGCATCTTTACCCAAATGTGATGATGCTGAGCGGGTGCCTCATTTGCATACAGCCAATCACAAACGAGTAGGAACCAGGCGTAAGGGCGGTTGTTTTTAATTCTGACCAATCACAGCGTTGTTTTGGTGTGTCAGTCTGAACCAAAGAACAGCCTGTTCCTTATGCTGAATTAAACACCTGTCAAACGATAGTACGCAAAATCCTACACACGCTTTGGGTTCAAAAGTCAAATCTGTGTAATCGGTGTATTATAACACTCAAAATACACACACAGTAAACCAGCAC